ACATAACACATGTAACACTGGTGGACCACACATAACAAATATAACACTGGTGGACCACACATAACAAATATAACACTGGTGGACCACGCATAACACATGTAACACTGGTGGACCACACATAACACATGTAACACTGGTGGACCACACATAACACATGTAACACTGGTGGACCACACATAACACGTGTAACACTGGTGGACCACACATAACACATGTAACACTGGTGGACCACACATAACACATGTAACACTGGTGGACCACACATAACACGTGTAACACTGGTGGACCACGCATAACACATGTAACACTGGTGGACCACGCATAACACATGTAACACTGGTGGACCACACATAACACGTGTAACACTGGTGGACCACACATAACACATGTAACACTGGTGGACCACACATAACACGTGCCACACTGGTGGACCACACATAACACATGTAACACTGGTGGACCACACATAACACGTGCCACACTGGTGGACCACGCATAACACATGTAACACTGGTGGGCCACACATAACACATGTAACACTGGTGGACCACACATAACACGTGTAACACTGGTGGACCACACATAACACATGTAACACTGGTGGACCACACATAACACATGTAACACTGGTGGACCACACATAACCCATGTAACACTGGTGGACCACACATAACCCATGTAACACTGGTGGACCACACATAACACGTGCCACACTGGTGGACCACGCATAACACATGTAACACTGGTGGACCACACATAACACGTGCCACACTGGTGGACCACACATAACACATGTAACACTGGTGGACCACACATAACACATGTAACACTGGTGGACCACACATAACACATGTAACACTGGTGGACCACACATAACACATGTAACACTGGTGGGCCACACATAACACATGTAACACTTGTGGACCACACATAACACATGTAACACTGGTGGACCACACATAACACATGTAACACTGGTGGACCACACATAACACGTGTAACACTGGTGGACCACGCATAACACATGTAACACTGGTGGACCACACATAACACATGTAACACTGGTGGACCACACATAACACATGTAACACTGGTGGACCACACATAACACATGTAACACTGGTGGACCACACATAACACATGTAACACTGGTGAACCACACATAACACATGTAACACTGGTGGACCACGCATAACACATGTAACACTGGTGGACCACACATAACACATGTAACACTGGTGGACCACACATAACACATGTAACACTGGTGAACCACGCATAACACATGTAACACTGGTGGACCACACATAACAAATATAACAATGGTGGACCACACATAACACATGTAACACTGGTGGACCACACATAACACATGTAACACTGGTGGACCACACATAACACATGTAACACTGGTGGACCACACATAACACATGTAACACTGGTGAACCACACATAACACATGTAACACTGGTGGACCACACATAACAAATATAACAATGGTGGACCACACATAACACATGTAACACTGGTGGACCACACATAACACATGTAACACTGGTGGACCACACATAACACATGTAACACTGGTGGACCACACATAACACATGTAACACTGGTGAACCACGCATAACACATGTAACACTGGTGGACCACACATAACACGTGTTACAACTGATGTTGAACGATCGTTACATATATACTTTTGTTGAAAGATCGTTACAGATATACTTATGTTGAACGGTCGTTACATATATACTTATGTTGAACGGTCGTTACAGATATACTTATGTTGAACGTTCGTTACAGATATACTTATGTTGAATGATCGTAACCGATATACTTATGTTGAAAGATCGTTACAGACACACTTAGGTCGAACGTTCGTTACAGATATACTTATGTTGAATGATCGTAACCGATATACTTATGTTGAAAGATCGTTACAGATATACTTATGTTGAACGCTCGTTACAGACATACTTATGTTGAAAGATCGTTACAGACACACTTAGGTCGAACGTTCGTTACAGATATACTTAAGTTGAATGATCGTAACCGATATACTTATGTTGAAAGATCGTTACAGACACACTTAGGTCGAACGTTCGTTACAGATATACTTATGTTGAATGATCGTAACCGATATACTTATGTTGAAAGATCGTTACAGATATACTTATGTTGAACGTTCGTTACAGATATACTTATGTTGAAAGATCATTACAGACACACTTAGGTCGAACGTTCGTTACAGATATACTTATGTTGAATGATCGTAACCGATATACTTATGTTGAAAGATCGTTACAGATATACTTATGTTGAACGATCGTTATAGATATACTTATGTTGAACGATCGTTACCGATATATTCATGTTGAACGATCGTTACAGATATACTTATGTTGATTCTTCTTCACAGATCTAGGGATGTATATCGGTGTGGGAATTGGAACAGCAGTAGTAGTTATCTTCGCGATCGTTGTGCTGGTGATGTGGTAAGTGCCTTATAACGTCTCTTTGAAACGAACGACATGTATTCACCATTACAGTAAACTTTAAAGGCAGAATCCGACCTTAATTTGAAGACAAGAATCTGGCAAAATAAAAGCTGATGAAAAATCGTTGATGACGATTACTTAACTGTCACAACTAATGTAAGTCCATGAGGTCAAAGGTGACACAATTCGTCGGATAAAGGCGTGTCCTTAAACAGTGACGGGATCCGCACTTTATGAGGACCCTTGACCCAAGTTGATGTTAAGGTCTTAACATGACTGTTTGACAGTCAGTTGTTAGATACTTTAGTACAACAACTTTTCTGGTTGAGTGCTCAGCCATGCATCATACTGTTACCTCAGATGAAAAATGGAACGACCCATAGGCCTGTACATAACAAAGAAGTGTTAAGTGTAAAATATTCTTTATATTTGATAGGTCTCATCTCATCTGATATAACTGAAATATCTCAAAGCGGCTATAACCCACTCTCTCAGCTCACTCACCTGCTCACTTACTAATGATGCAAATGTGTTGATTTGCCTTCAGGTGCCGTTGTCGTCGCAAGGCGGGGAAGCAAGACTCCCCACGGGAAATGCCCGACCCCTACCCGCCAGTAATCACTGAATCCGAAGTATCGTCTTCAACAACCCATCTCGTCCAACACGAGGGCCTGTCCGCGGAATCCCTGCCCATAGCCCCTCCTCCGCCCCAAGTAGAGCATGAACCCAATCCCCTGGGACACTTCGACAAGATGTACGAGAATACAGTTGGTCAAGGCGAGGACGGGGACGGTGTGGAGGACTACCTACAGCCTCAAAGTTGGAAGCCCCAGTCAGATGATTTGTATATACCTATGGGCGTCCCTGTGATGCTGGGACAACAACCCGTCCCCTCGAGTCAGCTAACAGCCGAGTACGCAGACCCAAGTGTTCATCATCCCAAACCTTTGGTGTGCGGGGGGTCAAAAGGGTACGTGAACGTTCCCAACTCCGGCGCAACGACTGCAACGCCGGCCAAATATCCCAAAGTGAACGAGGAGGAGGATGAAGATCAGGAGGACTACCAGAATCTCCCTAAAGGTGTGACAGCTCCAGCTGGTAACGGTGTTGTCACGCGTAACACAAACACGCTTCCAAAATATGCAAATCTGTCTGCCGAGGACATGAAACGCGCCTCGCCTCGATCTCTCCCTAAAGTACCAAAGACAAAAGTAAAGACTGGACAGACGACAAAGGGAATGACAGAGCAGACGACAAAAGGAAGGAAAGAGCAGACGACCAACGGAAGGACAGAGCAGACGACAAAAGGAAAGACAGAACAGACGACAAAACGGGTCACGCCAAAGGTCACACCTAAAGTGAAGCACAAACAGTCGTCTCAAGATGAGGGTGGTGACTATGTCAATGTGAAAGAGTATTCCAAAAAACCGGGAGTAATCGGTAGACCGGACATGGTGGAACTTAAGCATGCTTTGAAATTAAAAGGGAAGAAAGATCATTAAATGAACGTACACGCTGTGAAATGTAATCAGTGTCTTTCAATTGAGTGATCATTTTGATTAGGGGTCAGATACCCTTTTTTCAAAGACGTTCACTCGACAATGCTGTGACAAACCGGTCAGGGATGTTAGGGGAGGTCAGTTCTGTGACAAGAGGGAAGTCAGTGCTGTTACAAGTGGGAGGTCAGTGATGTGACACGTGGGAAATCACTGCTGTGACAATTCGGAGGTCAATGGTGTGACAAATGGGAGGTCAGTGCTGTGACAAATGGGAGGTCAGAGCTGTGACAAGACGGAGGTCAGAGCTGTGACAAGTGGGAGGTCAGTGTTGGGATACCGAGATGCAAGACCTCTGAAGTACTACAACCCTTAAACAAATTACCTGCCGTATACGAATGCACCCGAGATGGGTTGAGTGTGATCAAAATCGCCCCTCTCAGTGTTTATACTACAGTTTATATTCTAAATGGATATATTCTACTAAATGTCGCTCCAATGAAAACGGATATCAGTCAGCTCGGTCTGACACTGTGGACCGGAAGCGGAACCTGGCAGGATGTGGTTTTACGGACACGTGACTCAGCCAGGAACCGATGGGGTAGTGTCACCAGCAGCACACAATAATCGGAGAACATCACCACACTTAATATCATTCTTAGAAAGATACCATTGTACGAATCCCGACACGATTTAATGAATACATATTTAACTGTGATTGTCATGACAACAAATTCTAACATCGATCGGTGAAAGGAGGGTAGGGGGAGAGATTTGTCGAGTTGTGTGGCTCCATATTGGATGACTATGCCCAATACATTGGGGCGAGGCAGAGTGTGTGTCAGAGTAAATATGCACCCCCTGAACATTTGCTCAGTAGGAATCGATACACTATGGGTACTGGTTCCTGTGGAACAACATAAGAAGAGTATACCCAGGGCGCGGACTATTTTCTTCCCTCGGTTTATTCCTATATATGATTATTTTACTCGGGTGTGCGTGAGGGGGGGGGGGGGGGGGTGGGAGTGGGTGTGGGTGTGGGGGCTCATTCATCGCTCACAAAGTTCTATATTGCATGTTGATATTAACTCACTTGAAGTAATGCTGCATATATCAAGGGAGTGTTACCGTCAACTAAAATACGAGTAACCCGATCCTTGTTGCACAGTGGTTAGGGCGAATGTCATCCGCGCAGGTGCAGTCTCAAATATGTTTCTTATCTAGTCACGTGACTAACCTCTTGCGATCAGCAGAACGCGATCTGGGTCTTGATCGTACATGAAGCATCGTTGAATATGTGGGGCATTGCTAGGTAATGAACTGGATATATACCACGTGTGGTTGACGAGTGAGGTGAGGTGAGGTGAAATGGGGTTTAACGTCGCGTCCAAGATTATTGCACTTATATAGCGACGTGCATGTACGTGTGTGTTTGCGTGGCTGCTTGTACTAGTCCGGACTGTTGCCGATTTATAGTGCTAGCTCACTGAGATACCATGCCGCAGTTTAACATGAATACTCCACTCAGACACAGTATACTGACACCGAGTCGACCAGTTCTTGACTACAAGAAAGCTTGCATTTCTATTTAAGCATTGCCAGACAGGGTAACAACAAGTACCATCTTTTAACGTCTTATGGTATGACGCGGTCGGGGATCGAACCCCGCACCTTCCGCTCTCCGGGCTGACGCTCTACCACTAGACCACGGAGGCGGTCCGTGGTTGACGAGTAGGCGTATGGGTTTCTAGCGAGTGATATCGAGTTTTCCCTGTATCCTAATCAATCCATGCTATACATTTCTGCCTCTGCAATCCCAGCTTATTCTGGTTACAAGAGGCGACCAATTGGGTCGGGTGGTCAGGCTCGCCGACTTGGTTTGTGTCATCGTACCCCGACGATGTGGGTCGTTGTTCACCACATCGATCACTGGATTGTCTGGTTCAGACTCGATTATGTACAGGCCACCGTCCTATGGCTGGAATATTGCTGAATGTGGGGTTAAACAACAAACAAGCTACTTCTACCAATTTGGGACTGTGAACCACCTGACTACAATATGACACTGTAAATCTCATTCTACCATCTCGCAGTGAACCACATGTCTACAATATGACACTGTAAATCTCATTCTACCTTCTCGCAGTGAACCACATATCTACAATACAACTCTGTAGATCTCATTCTACCATCTCGCAGTGAACCACATGTCTACAATATGACTCTGTAAATCTCATTCTACCATCTCGCAGTGAACCACATGTCTACACTATGACACTGTAAATCTCATTCTACCATCTCCAGTGAACCACATGTCTACAATATGACACTGTAAATCTCATTCTACCATCTCGCAGTGAACCACATGTCTACAATATGACACTGTAAATCTCATTCTACCATCTCGCAGTAAACCACCTGTCTTTGTTTTAAAAATATATATTTCTACGGCAAAACTCAGATGTATGTAAACCCATACAAATAAAATATTTTCAGACACACATTTAGTGTTTTAGTTGTGATGTCAAGTTGGTTCAGTGGGTGAGCAAGCCACGCCCTCAGTTGTGGCCGAGGATGTCTCTCAATCACCCCACGACATCGCCGAGAATACCCTTTTACAACCCTGTGACAGTGCATCGGCGAGGATACCTCTCTACGCCCCGTGACAGTGCATCGGCGAGGATACCCTTTTACAACCCTGTGACAGTGCATCGCCGAGAATACCCTTTTACACGCCGTGACAGGGCATCGCTGGGGATACTGCTCTAGGCCCCGTGACAATGCATTGCCAAGCATAACCCTTTAAGCCCTGTGAAAGTGCATCACCGAGAATGCCCCTTACGCCCTGTGACAATGTATCACCGAGAATACCCCTTTACGCCCTATGACAGTGTATCACTAGGAATACCCCTTTACGCCCTGTGACAGTGTATCACTAGGAATACCCCTTTACGCCCTATGACAGTGTATCACTAGGAATACCCCTTTACGCCCTATGACAGTGTATCACTAGGAATACCCCTTTACGCCCTGTGACCGTGTATCACTAGGAATACCCCTTTACGCCCTGTGACAGTGTATCACTAGGAATACCCCTTTACGCCCTATGACAATGTATCACTAGGAATACCCCTTTACGCCCCGTGACTGTATCACTAGGAATACCCCTTTACGCCCTGTGACAGTGTATCACTAGGAATATCCCTTTACGCCCTATGACAGTGTATCACTAGGAATACCCCTTTACGCCCCGTGACTGTATCACTAGGAATACCCCTTTACGCCCTATGACAGTGTATCACTAGGAATACCCATTTACGCCCTATGACAGTGTATCACTAGGAATACCCCTTTACGCCCTGTGACCACGTATCACAGGGAATACCCCTTTACGCCCTGTGACAGTGTATCACTAGGAATACCCCTTTGCGCCCTATGACAGTGTATCACTAGGAATACCGCTTTATGCCCTATGACAGTGTATCACTAGGAATACCCCTTTACGCCCAATGGCAGTGTATCACTAGGAATACCCCTTTACGCCCTATGACAATGTATCACTAGGAATACCCCTTTACGTCCCGTGACTGTATCACTAGGAATACCCCTTTACGCCCTGTGACAGTGTATCACTAGGAATACCCCTTTACGCCCTGTGACAGTGTATCACTAGGAATACTCCTTTACGCCCTATGACAATGTATCACTAGGAATACCCCTTTACGCCCCGTGACTGTATCACTAGGAATTCCCCTTTACGCCCTGTGAAAGTGTATCACTAGGAATACCCCTTTACGCCCTATGACAGTGTATCACTAGGAATACCCCTTTACGCCCTATGACAGTGTATCACTAGGAATACCCCTTTACGCCCCGTGACTGTGTATCACTAGGAATACCCCTTTACGCCCTATGACAGTGTATCACTAAGAATACCCATTTACGCCCTGTGACAACGTATCACAGGGAATACCCCTTTACGCCCTATGACAGTGTTTCACTAGGAATACCCCTTTACGCCCTGTGACAACGTATCACAGGGAATACCCCTTTACGCCCTATGACAGTGTATCACTAGGAATACCCCTTTACGCCCTATGACAGTGTATCACTAGGAATACCCCTTTACGCCCTATGACTGTGTATCACTAGGAATACCCCTTTACGCCCTGTGACAGTGTATCACTAGGAATACCCCTTTACGCCCTGTGACAGTGTATCACAGGGAATACCCCTTTACGCCCTATGACAGTGTATCACTAGGGATACCCCTTTACGCCCTGTGACAGTGTATCACTAGGAATACCCCTTTACGCCCCGTGACTGTATCACTAGGAATACCCCTTTACGCCCTGTGACAGTGTATCACTAGAAATATCCCTTTACGCCCTGTGACAGTGTATCACTAGGAATACACCTTTACGCCCTATGACAGTGTATCACGAGGAATACCCCTTTACGCCCTATGACTGTATCACCAGGAATACCCCTTTACGCCCTGTGACAACGTATCACAGGGAATACCCCTTTACGCCCTATGACAGTGTATCACTAGGAATACACCTTTACGCCCTATGACAGTGTATCACTAGGAATACCCCTTTACGCCCCGTGACTGTATCACTAGGAATACCCCTTTACGCCCTATGACAGTGTATCACTAGGAATACACCTTTTACGCCCTATGACAGTGTATCACTAGGAATACACCTTTTACGCCCTATGACAGTGTATCACTAGGAATACCCCTTTTACGCCCTATGACAGTGTATCACTAGGAATACCCCTTTACGCCCCGTGACTGTATCACTAGGAATACCCCTTTTCGCCCTGTGACAACGTATCACAGGGAATACCCCTTTACGCCCTATGACAGTGTATCACTAGGAATACCCCTTTACGCTCGGTGATAGTGTATCACTAGGAATCTTTGGCAACGTCTGGGGAATGCAGCGGCAGAATCCTTTGTCACGTACTGTCGTTAGGTGCAGCGGCAGAATGATTTGTCAGCGCATCAGAAACGAAGACAGTTACAGCTCACTCTACCAACAGTGAGACAAAAGCCAGACGTTATCAAGCGTGTGTATAACCAGTCGTAAATCTACTGCCACCTTTGCCTATTGTATTGTAGGTGTTTTCCTATCGCGTAATAACCTCTTGGGAGTATTTACTTTTGCATAAAGTCCTCATCCCGGATATGAGGTTTTACTTTTTCCTTGTTAGATCTGATGAGTTGAATTTGTGTTTGGTGTTTTATGTTTATGTTCAAAAATCGAAGACAAAAAATAACACTTTTAACTATAGATGACGGGAATAGAACTTGCAACCTCACATATCGTGTTGAGTTTTGTAGCCCACTGTATTTTCCCACTGACCGCCGAGGCAAGTGATGAAAAGTTGTTCAATTTCACATGTCATGAATCTAGTTGGTCCATGCTGCACGTGGTTTTTCACTCGAACACTTTGATCGAATTCCTTTTATACCGCGATACTCTGTATTGTTTCACTATAAGGTATCTCTATGTTTTCTTATTTTTCTGGTATTTCTTGCATTTGGTCTGCTTATAAGTGAGATAAAGCACTCCTCCTCGGTTACGGTCGAGGAAGTAAGACCTCGGCATTCGGGTATCGGCAATGTAAGACCGAGGACGAGGACTCTAGCCTCGGTCTTACTTCCTCAACCGTGTCCTCGGAGTCGTGTTTTGTCCTTCACTTAAAGGTTTCCCATGCCGTAGCTGTGTCTGAGGCCTTGATATCAAATATAACTAGCACACGTCACTGCATCCCACAGGAAACCGCCATCGAGGATTCAGCATCCCAGGAAGAAAAACTCGCGCTGAGGTGAGAGTTCGTCTACATCCGTATCGAATCCTGGGAGGAAATTCACGAGAACGTCGTGGTGTAATCAGGTCCAGCTTGTGTTTGGACTGAGAAGTTGCCGTACCGATATCAGGTGACACAAGCGTACGTAAAATGCCTGTCTTATAACTGTTTGTTTGTTGT